GAACGAGGCTGAACTCATGTAGTGATAACCTGAAGAACTGCAAGTACGTTGTTAGCTACAATATTTGGAAGTAGATGGAAAGAATCTTTAATCTATAAAGCGAACAATTACTACAGTTCATCATACAGATCTATGTGGTCGCTAGGAGTTAAAAATTACTTGATGGCACATAATTTATCAATCACTGGTACAAGATGTAGCTGGCTGGACAAAAAAGTATCTTCTAAAGCTGGCTTTTTTTCCCCTGGGAATTGGGGAAATATGCAATCTTATTTTCATTAACCTCTAACTGAAATGTAACTTGTTGTTCAATAGTGAATGTAAACAGCCACATTCTTATGGCCTCTGGTCTATAGGTTTACAGACTCTCAAATGGATCCATGGTACAAAAAAGTTAGAATTCTGTTCCAACATGGTGGTGGTGTTGGAATTGTATTTTGGAGAATTTTTCATTTGCGGTGCAAGGAAGACAACTGCACACCTAAATCAATGGCAACAGTTTTTCAGAGCTTAACCAGAACTTTAAAAAAAAAAAAACTTGTGACCTTCCAAAATGGCACTTTTTATTGATTCTAGGTAAAATGGCTAACAGCTGAGAATAACAGAAACTGAAATCTAACCATAATGGGGGGTCATGGCTTCCCCAGTAACTGTATTGGAAGTTCTGTCCAATCTAACTGGGGAGGAGGGGGGGCAGTCTGGAAACATTATGTGATTAGAAGTTTGAGATGGAAGGACGCCAATTTTTGCTTTGAATGTTCAAAACAGGCAGGATTGTTAAACTGGCAAAGATCTGAATTGTGAGCATTTCTTAGGGGGCTGCCCCCTTTGTAAGAGTTTTAATTGACCCTAATCCTACAAAAGAGGGACCCTCATCTCTACCTCTGAAAAGTATTCTTTTTCTTTTATAGCAATGTTATGTTCCAGCAAGGATTACTAATTTATTCTCTGTGGAGCAGCATAGGATTCATTGAATGCTATGTAACATTATCAGTGTGTGAGAGGCTATACATTTTCAGCATGCTTTTACTTCAGTTTTGTTTGATTTTATAAGTGCCAAGAGTAAAAACAGATGTTATGCTATTCAATGTTTGGATATCGAACCCTATCCCAATATAACTTATATGTCCCTCAAGGCATGTGGATAATGTAGTAGGCTTAGGGATGGATGAAGAGGCCAGAAAATGCTTGGCTTCAGGGTTTTCATGCCTTTTTTCCTAAATGCTTGACATTAAATATGAATCAAATCAAGACTTCAAAAATATAGCCAAGTTGAGGATTCAACTTTGCACAAAAACCCAAGTCAAGATTGATCTGAAATATCAGTAACTCTTACAGCAAGTTTATGTAGGAGCATTTCCACTAAAATCCAAAAAGCAAGTTAAGCATGCATAAATACTGCCTGAGCAATTGAGGCTCAATCCCTTTTGATCCATAGGCATGGTAAGAGTAGTAACTGAAATTTCTTCCAAGGCTAAAATTCTATTATGGGCACGTTCCATTTCCCATTGCTCAAGTCAATGTAAAATTACAAAATATAGCACAAACAACCACTTGTTGTTAAGGAATTAAGATCAGGCAACAAGGTCGCAACCACAAATACATTACAGTACATGTAATTCTTTCCGGTCTATACTTCTTGAATAGGAAACATGGATGTATGAATGGTTTTAAGGATAGAAACATCAAATTTGTGTGGGATGCAGCAGTACTAGCACTAAAGAGACCCAATACATATTCTGGGGAGGGGGGGAATCTAGTTCCTCTTGCTCACACTTTGTATTTCAGATTAAACACAATAAAGTTACAAATGTAAGAGAGTTATGTAAAAGAAAAACAATCACAGTTCAAAAACAATACCAACAACAAGGGAGAAACCATTGAATACCAAAGAACATTAAGTTTATTTATGATGAAAAGTTCTAAATTTGAGGGTGCCTTAGAACCAGGGGATGCAGTGGCTCAGTGGCTAAGTCCCTGAACTTGTCGATCAGAAAGGTCAGCAGTTCAGCGGTTTGAATCCCTAGCGCCACGTAACAGAGTGAGCTCACGCTACATGTCCCATCTTCTGCCAACCTAGCAGTTGGAAATGATATAAAAATGCAAGTAGAAAAATAGGGACCACCTGTGGTGGGAAGGTAACAGTATTCGGTGCACCTTCGGCATTTAGTCAGGCCNGATAGGAATGATGAGAAGATTAATAGTAATAGTAATGCAGCCTTAGTGAATAGTTTGACAGTATTGAGGGAATTATTTATTTAGCAGACTGATGGTGTTTGGGGAGAAAACTTTTTATACATTATACAACAGGTGGCTGTTAAATCCAATATACAGTGTAACGTTGTCCAAAATTTATCTTGCATGAAAGATATTAGAAGCCATGATTCAGACATACCCAAACACAAGACCTCTTATAGCATCAAAACAGCCTGATATTTTAAAGCAGGGGTGTCCAACTTTGGCAACTTTAATACTTGTGGACTTCAACTTCCAGAATTCCTCAGCCAGCCATGCTTTAACTTTAAGCTCACAAGTCTTATGAGCATGAGTTACTAAGGTTAGACACTCGTTTTAAAGGTTGGAGCCTTAAAAGGTTGCTGCTACCTTAAGGACTCCGTTCATTAAGACAAGCTTTAAAAGCACCAGGTCTATTTTTTCCAGCTTGCACAGAAGCTTGAAAAAGAATGGGCTCCTTTAATAAACAGCAGGGAAGTGCTTGTGCGTGGTTCAAAGCATAACTCTAAATCGTTTTCAAAGTATTCTACAGAGCAAAACTACAGAGTGAAAGTCCTGTTGCGTAACAGTAATGTGTTGCTGGCATGAGAGAACTTAGTTTTGTTAATAGTTTACCAAAGGCATCTCCAGCTGAAAAAAGTATGCTATCAGCTAAAGGGAAAGACTTCTGCTTAATACCCAGAATAAACGCAGTCCCCCTTGGAACAGAATGACTTCTAACGTAAGGGGGAAGTGTGTGCTTGTATGCAATGTCCCTGTGTAACCAATGAATCCTAAAGCTGTTTAAGGACTCATAATTTCAGAGTGTGCATTCATTCCATCTTATATACCATGCTGAACTTTATGGAGATGGAGTTAGTGAACACCTTCGGCTTCTTGTGCTGCTAAATTCCAAATATTCCCAGTCAAGTCGGTTAAAAACGGGAGTTTAGACACGCGGAGGGCTCCGAGCTACCGATTTCACCCTTCGGCCAACAGCTACCCCTAGCGGCGGCTGCGGGAAGCAAAACATATTATCTCGCGCATTTAAAATCTCGCTGCCGAATTCGCCGCGGTCAACAGGTTTAACCAGCGAGGTAACTCCGAGACGAGGTCACCAACCAAACATTAAACTCCCGTGTTCCCGGATAACGACGTCTATCCTTCCCCGACCACGTGGACGGCGTCCCAGAACCCGAAGGCCCAAAAGGAAAAGGCGTCCGTTTCCCAAGCGGAGAAAGACCGAGCCAGGTACTTTTGTTTTTAACCAACTAGCCCATCGCTTCTCGCGTCTCACCGCTGGTAAAGGGGGACGGACGGGCGGAGGCAAAAAAACAAAAACCCCTTGAGAGGAAGGTGGGGATCGAGTCGGCTCTTCCAAGACTTAAGACAAAGTTTGGCGACGCTGCTCCGCGTGAGAGGTTTGCTTTCCGAGGCGGTTGCGTGCACCGGGTGTTTTCACTCTTCGGGATAATTTCACTTCAGCCTCGCTTGCCATCGACGTTTGGGGAGTTGGGGTGGCGAGCGCGGGAAAAAAGAAGAGGCAAGAAAGGGGCGACTACTTGCCCGAGGGCGCTTGGGAAGGGGGGGGTATCCGGTATTGGTCGCCGCGTCCCGAGCGTTTCATTGATTACTTTCGCTCGCTCCCCAAGTTTACACCCAAGTGAGCAATGTTGGGAGGAGGAGGAGAAGGGAGCCTGTTGCGTCGATTATTCCCGGCACGCCCGACCTGCCCGGGAAAAGACCCGGACATGCCCTAAAGCTGCCTGGCCTGAGAACGGCCGTTCCCTGCGCCTTGACACGTCCCCCCGTCCTTCCAAAGCCGGGTTGGGGCTGGCTGGCTTGCGCGTTCCCTCGGTCCACACCCCCCACCCCGGTGCCTCTCTTGGCCAGTATATTTTTAGGTCATTGGAGTGGAGGGGTAGGTAATCCCCGGGCTCAGGTTCCAAAGGAGGCGGGTTCCGGCCGGAGGTGGAGTCACTTTTTCATTTAAATCCCCGACTATAAAATGGGTTTAAGGAGAAGCGGGATCTCATCAGCTGAGGCGCCCAGAGGAGCTGGTGGGAGTGAGCGGCGGGGGAGGCAAGCGGGAGGCTCGGGACCACAGCGTGGGTGCCCAGCAGAGCTGCCACTCCTGCCGCGGCGATGCTACACTCCGTGGGCGCCCAAACCTTGCAAGCGCTCAGCCAGGTGGCCGCCGGCGTGCTCCTCCTGCCCCGCTTCCTCCTGACCGCTGTGATGCTCTGGCTCCTGGATTTTCTCTGCATCCGGAAGAAACTCTTGCTGACCGCCGCGGCGGCGGCGGCACCTGGTGAGGAGCAAGAGTTGGCGGCAGAGGACGACGGCGACTCGAGCGACGGGACCTGCCCGCCGGACGACCCTCCGCTCTGCGTCTCCGACTCGAACCGCATGTTCACGCTGGAGTCGCTCAAAGCTGTGTGGCACGGGCAGAAGCTGGACTTTTTCAAGGCGGCGCACGTCGGCGCGACGGCACCCAACCCAGAGGTCGTCCAGCTGGACGGGCGCACGCGGCTGCGCATCCTGGACTACGCCCGGGGCAAGAGGCCGCTGATCCTCAACTTCGGCAGCTGCACCTGACCGCCCTTCATGGCGCGCCTGCGCGCTTTCGAGCGCCTGGCCACGCGCTTCGTGGACATCGCCGACTTCTTGCTGGTCTACATCGAGGAGGCTCACCCTTCCGACGGCTGGGTCAGCTCGGACGCCGCCTACGACATCCCCAAGCACCAGTGCTTGCAGGACCGGCTGCGCGCGGCTCAGCTGATGAAGGAAGGCGCGCCGGGCTGCCCGCTGGCCGTGGACACCATGGACAACGCCTCCAGCGCCGCCTACGGGGCGTACTTCGAGCGCATCTACATTATCCAGGAGCGGAAGGTGATATACCAGGGCGGCCGGGGCCCCGAGGGCTACAAGATCTCCGAACTCAGGCGCTGGCTCGACCAGTACAAGAGCAGCCTCCGGGCCGGGCCCAGCACCGTCATCGTTCAGGTGTAAGGAAGACTCCCCGGCGGAGAGCAAAGGGGACGGGAAGGAAAGAGCGCAGCTCGAACTGCTGCGCTCGCCTTTCCCGCCCCTTTCCGTAACTCCCGAGAGACTCTGTGTGAGTTTTCATGCGAGACGTTATTCAAATCATGTTGATTTGCCCAGCACTTGTTATTGACATCCATTTCCACGTGCAGTTTTGTTTCCCTTTATTTCCGGATTGCGCGCGTGAACGAACAGTTCTCGCTCTCTCTCCCTCTCTCCCTCTCTCTCTTGCGGGGAGGGTTGGGGGACGCGCTTCCTGGTTGTTTTGGAGGGCCTGTTGCTGAGCGTGTGCGTGCACGTGCGGGCTTCGGGTGTACGTGTGCGCGGGTGTTTCCGATGGGAACGGTCTTCTGCCCTGCACGTGTGTCTGTTGGGGAGAAGTTTCGCGTGCCCGAGCGGCGTGTGTTCTCTCCTTATTGTTCCTCTCTCTCCGCTCTCCTAGCAAAAACCTTGGCTGGGAGTTCTAGCGTTTCTTTATGATGACCGGTTTCGAAATGGTTTTGGAGCGCCAGGAAACCGAGTCTGAAATTGGGAGATGCCAGAATTNTTTAAGATGGGCGAACTCTTAACTCCCAGAATTCCGCAGCCACAAGGAGAGCCAGTTTGATTTGATGCTTAAGACTGTGAATTCTAGTTCTAGTCCCACCTTAAGTTATGAGAGTGACCTTGAGCCAGTCACTCTTTTTCAGCCCAACTCATTTCACAGGGTTGTTGCTGTGGGGAAAATAGGAGGAAGAAGGTATGCTGGATATGTTTGCTTCTTCTTCTTGTGGCATATCCATCATCAGATGTTTGCGATCCTATTTTTCTCAACAGCCGCATGAAAAAGTGCTGCCGAGTTTTGTTCAAACCAGTCCCTTAGGTTTTGAAGCCATGATGTTCTTCTTCTGCCTGGACCTCATCTGCCTTCCATTTTTTTCCCTGGAGGATTAGGTGAAGTATGCCATATTTTTCTGGATGTCGCATCACATGCCCTAAATATTCTAACTTTCGCTTTTTAATGACTTGGATGATTTCCCTCTGCTTTCCCAGGCGGCTTATCACCTCTTCATTTGTGATTTTATATGTTTTCTGTCTTGAGTTATTTGTAAAAAATAATAAAGATGGGATATCAATAGGTATATAAAATAAAAAATAAAATTCTGCTTGAGCCCTAAGAGGGAATTCTGGGAGTTGAAGGCTACCTGTCTTAGAGTGGCCAAGGTTAAGAAATGCTGCTCCATTTCCTTGAACATACTCACTCTCTTGTACTTATTGGTCCTCTTGTCATCAATAGTCTCCAAAGCCAAGTGCCCAGTAATGTACAAGTGTTCACTGATCTCCAGGGTCTCCAGAAAACTGGTTGGCTGATTGAAAGTAAATTAAAGTCTCCAGCTTTGGAGTTTTTAATTTACTTTGTATCTGTAGAGGGGAGGGTTTTTTTTCTTTTTGGGATCCTTAGATCAGGGAGAGGGAATCTAGTGCCTTTCAGATATTCTGGACTTCAGTTCTCAGGCTTCCCAGCACAGCTAACCACTAGAGGTTAAGAGAGATGTAGCCAAACATCTGGAGAGCACTACTTAAATCTACTTTATTCCCTATTTTGAAATATGGAACTGTCTCCTTTTCTAGAGTTACTGGAAAAATTCCCAAATTAAAATTGAAATTAAAAACCCACACCACCTCTTAATAGGAGCAAAGGGTTCGTTTTTATGAGTTTTTATGCTGATCTTTATGCTTTTATTTTTCTTCATAAAATTATGCTAAATAAGATGGGAAGCTATCTAATGTTTTAAATACGTATTTTTTTTCTGTACTGCTTTGCTGCCATCCACTGGCCATCCATATTCTTACATCCCAATCTGATAGTGAACCCAGAAATGCAGCTTACATACAATACAATACAATACAATACAATACAATACAATACAATACAATACAATACAATACAATACAATACAATACAATACGGTCATTTTTGGTCATTTA